TTAGGCAAGCAGAGACTAGATTCTGATTCTGGCTTTGCTTCTGATTCAATGTGCTACTCTGTTTTTTTGCTTCTTTTTTTTTTCTAGCTGCAGAATGAGGGAATTGGATGAAGACAAAGGCTTCCAGACAGCACTAGGAAGATGCTTCTGAATAGCTTTAGAAACCACAGACCGAGTAGAGATGGTTCCCGGGACCCTGGTTTTCTGCATTCAGAGTAGTCCCACTTGTATCTGTTTGTACACTGAGAATTCCTGTAAGATATTGTCTTAGCCCCGGCAGAAGGATAGACACTGTTGTTGTTGTTGTTATTTGCCGTGGAGTCGATTCCGACTCATAGCGACCCTGTACAGGGTTTCCAAGGCTGTAAATCTTTACAGGAGCAGAAAGCCTCATCTTTCTCCTGCGAAACAGCTGGTAGTTTCGAACTGCTGACCTTGAGGTTCGCAGCCCGATTCATAACCACTATGCTACCAGAGCTCCTTGCATATACATTAATAATATTAAAAACCAATTACTGTCAAGTCAATTCAGACTCATGGAAACCCCATGTATATCCGAGTAGAGGTCTGCTTCATAGGGAGTTTTTTTGGAAGTAGCTCACCAGGCCTTTCTTCTGAGGTGCTTCTGGGTGGACTTCAACCTTCAACCTTATGTTAGTAGCCAGACTTTGGCATCATTCAGGGACTCCACTACTCTATTAAGGAATTCAATCCCAGGATAAAGGAGAATGAGGCAGAGGGAAATGCGAGATAGAGAGCACAAGAGTGCACTGCTGAGCTGGCTACCACTTGGTTCCAAGCAATGGTTAGATCTCATAGGATCTTCTTTAAAGAGGCTGGGTGAGATGCTGAAACTCAGGATAGGCCATCCAGGAAGAGGCAGAGAGAAAAAATGATCTACCAAATCAGTGTCTTGCTGATCAGAGGTTCACCTTGTGGAATGTCCAACACTCCTGCACTTCCGAAGCCAGAGATGTCACGGGGTGGGGACAGGGGGAGGGGATGAGGCAAGGCTTTGTTCACTGTGCTGTGTTTCCAGGGCACCTAGACTGCAACAGGTGACAAGGACCAGAAAGGCAGGTGTGGCTGAGAGGACTGTGTGGTGCACTAAAAGAGTTTGATACAGCTGTACAAGGGGGCCTCAAAAAATTCATGGGAAAATCCCATTATCTTTTCATTCCATTTTTCCATGAAATTTTTGAAGTTCACTCATATAATTGAAAATGAGTGAGAAGGAAAGTTGAAATCACTGAACTGGATAACTCCAGTGGACCTTCTCCTCTCAGACATTCCTTGATACCGTTCACTGAGATTGCTGCTCAGAAAGCAGAGGCCATTTGCCCTTCTGGTGGTTAAGGACCATGTCCCCAGAGAGTTGCAAACCAGATCCTGGAAAATATGTACTCCTTAGTGCTCCAAGAGTTGGTATCAACTTTGCTCTACTGCCCATGTAAATTTCCATGAAATTTCAGAGCTAATGAAGACGGTATTTTAAAGAGTCCTAAGGGGATGGGAAGGAGTCCTGATGTGGCGCTGTGGGTTAATGCACCAGACTGCAAAGCCATTTGAACTGCAAGCTCGGTGGTTCAAGCTCACCAGCTGCTCCTCAAAAACCCCTATACAGTGTTGCTATGGGTGGGAATCAACTCACCAGCACTTAACAACAACAATGGGATGGGAGAGAGTGGATAATCCCACCAAGCTGGGGGAGTTTCCATCTTGTTCATTTGGGGAGGTCTGGCCCACCTGCCAGCCTGGACACCCCTCCACTCAGGGGTCAGCTGTTGGCTCCAGGCAGAAGGCAGATTTGCTGGTATTTACAGGATAGGAGGATTAAATGGTCCATAAAAGCTCCCGCCACACAATCTTCTGATGGCTGGAAACCCACCCCTGAATGTGATTAAATCCATGATTACCTGACTGGCACTCCAGCCCCTTCCTCTGGCATGCAGCAAGCTTGCAAAACCTGCAGAGAGAGAGAGAGAGATTGGGGTCAGAGTTGTTGTTAAGTGCTGTAGAGTCGATTCTGACCCATAGTGACCCTGTATAGGGTTTCCAAGGAGCCACTGGTGAGCTTGAACCACCAACCTTGCAGTTCAAATGACTTTGCAGTCTGACGCATTAGCCAATAGCGCCACACCAGGACTCCTGGGGTCAGAGTGGGAAGCCTCAATTCTTCTTCTCTGGTTTATATGTAAATCAAGCTGTAGATCAGATTCACGGAGATTAAACCCGGATTCCACGCTGAGTACTGTTGCTAGCTGACCTTGGTCACGCTATTTCAGCTCAGGGCCTTGGTTTTTACAACTGTAAAATAGGGACATGACCAACTCTGTCTCTGGCATGTTGTTGTTGTGTGCCACTGAGTCGGTTCTAACCCATAGCAACCCTGTATAGGGTTTCCAAGGAGCGGCTGGTGGGTTTGAACCACCCAACTTTAAATTCAAACCGACTATGCGTTCCAGCGCATTATCCTGTAGTACCAAACCAGGATCAGCTCTGCCTGAAGCATGTTGTTGTTGGTAAATGATGTCAAGTCGGTTCCAACACATAGCGACCCTGTATAGAGTTTCTGAGCAGTGACTGGTGAACTTGATCTACCAACCTTGCAGTTCAACTCGACCTTGTAGTCCAGTGCATTAACCCGCAGTGCCACACCAGGACTCTGGTGTAGTTGTGTGCCGTGGAGTCGGTTCTGACTCAGAGCAACCCTGCATAGGGTTTCTGAGGCTGTAAATGTTTACGGGAGCAGAAAGCCTCATCTTTCTGCCGTGGAACAGCTGGTGTAGTGAGGATCGAATGAGACAAAGGAAGCTATTAAGCAAAAGTGCCCTTCAGACTGAGGTGTGACCTATGTCTGAGCTGCTGGAGACCAGGATGGGACTGATGGAAAATGGCCCCAGGATCTAGGCAAGCTCAGTCTCCCACAGCTGTGAAAGGGCATGCTGGTTCTGAATGAAAAGGAAAAGGAATAAGCCCGACAAAATCTCCCAAGAGAAAAAGACAGAAAAGAAAATAGAACGGAATAGGCATAGCTCAAACCCCTCCCACTGTGAAGGGGAAACCAAGGTCCAGAGAGTATTGTAAATAATCAGCTGCCAAAATCTGGGTCTGTGCTAAGCAGTTGAGGTGTATTACCTCATGTAATCATCACATTTAATCAATGAAATCCATTCAGTTTAACAGATGCAACAAACTTCTGGTTACAGATGAGTAACGCAGTTTGAGGGCTGGAGACCCTTCCCCCAGAGTCACAACTAGTTAGCAGTGGTGCCAGATCTGAAACCCAACTCAGTCTTTGCTCCTCTCCTCTCTGGTTCCTGTTGTCTGTCACCTACATTACTGTGGCTCCGAAGTCCATCGGCCCAGCTCCCAAGGTCTCACTTGAGCTTCAGACTCATGGGTCCAACAGCCTTCCTGATCAGTCTTAAGGTTAATGTGTCCAAAGTTGAGTATTTCCCACTTCCCAGGGGGCTCCACCACCAGCCACCCTGCTGTGTACGGTCAACAGCCTGGACTCCACTCTCATTTAATACCGAATTAGTGCCCGGGTTCCCCTCATCTAATTCTTCCCTTCGTATTGCCACTAGACAACTGCTTTCCACATGCTTCATCGAGTCTCCAATCCTGCCTCCCATCCACCCTCCACACTGTGCAGATGGACCTAAACTACGAATGCAAAATATGATCCTTCTACTTCCTTGCTCTGGTAGCGTAGTGGTTACGAGTCGGGCTGCTAACCTCAAGATCAGCAGTTCGAAACTACCATCCGTTCCGCGGGAGAAAGATGAGGCTTTTTGCTCCCGTAAAGGTTTACAGTCTCGGAAATCCCATACAGGGTCGCTATGGGTCGGAACGGACTCCACGGCACACTACCACTTCTTTGCCCTAAACCCTTTAGCTGCTTCATCAATGTTCTCAGGATTAAGGCCCTCCAGCACCTGCACCTCTCCCAAGTCAACTCTTGTTGCTCTCCCTCCTAATACGCTCACTGCGCTTCTTCTCTTCCTCCGTACCTCAGTGCGGTTGTGGAGCCTCCATGCTGGCTGGTCCCTCTGCCGGGAATACTCTTCCTCATTTGGGGTGTTTGCATGACGGATGCCTGATGTCCGTCTTCCAAGGGACTCTTCTGCACCCACTCCCTCCACGTGTCTGCTCGCACATACTCTGAACCTTTCTCCTTACACAGTTTATCAAGAGCACCTCCCCCACACCCCATCTTCAAGATCTGTTGTTGGGTGCCCTGGTGGCGCTGTGAGTTAGGCCATGGGCTGCTAACCGCAAGGTCGACAGTTCAAATCTACTAGCGGCTCCTCAGGATAAAGATGAGACTCTGTTCCCATTAAGATTTAGAGTCTGGGGAACCCTATATTGGGTCGCTATGAGTCGGAATTAACTCTAGCAGTGGGCTGGGTTTGATTGTTGGGTGCCGTTGAGTCAATTCAGTTCCAGCTCTTGATGATTTCACATAACAAAGTAGATCTGCCCTGTAGCACATCTCCAGGTCTCTGCCTCAAAACGGCTGGGTTGGTTCGAACTGACAAGTTTCCAGCTAGAAGTTAAATGCTTAACTCTTTATGTACCAGAGCTTCTTGGAAACTCTACTAACCCTCAGCCACTAAGCAACCCTATTTGGGTTTCTAAGGCTGTATAGATTATGAAAATCTTAGCCTAGACAAATTTTCGCGGATCACCCCAAAACGTGTACCTCAGAAACGCCCCGCCCCCAAATACTCGCATGTGTTGCGCGCGCAAGCTCTCGTACCCTTCCGCCGTCCGGGCCGCAATCGCCCCTCCTCCCTTCGCCCTGCCTCCCTCCGATTGCCACGCCCCTTCCCGGGCCGTGCCCTGGGCCTGGCCGGAGCCTCTCGGGGCGGGGCGTTCTGCTGCCGGCCCGCCCCGCGCTTCGTATTTGTAGTCCCGGCCACGGGCAGGCGGAACCCGTCTCTGCCTCGGAAAAACTGGGCCTAGGGCCCAGCCAGGTGGAGAGCGGGGCAACCATGGAAGCAGCGGCGCGGAGGCGGCAGCACCCGGGCGCAGCGGGAGCCCCGGGCGCGCAGTCGGGCGCCTACTTCCTGCAGACTAGGTGGGCGCGGGACGCCGGGGGAGGGGCCAGCGCCTGGGAACGCGTCCCCCCACGTGACTGGGCCAGGGCCTCCTCTGGGACCATCCTGTGCGGCTGGGCCCCGGGTGGAGCGGGACCCGGGCTGGGCCAGGTCGGTCTTTCCTGCCCTGATCGCCCACTCACCTGTGCCCAATCTGGGTTCCGTTCTGGCCTGGATTCCCTGGTGAGCTCTGCCTTTCCATCAGGATACATACACTGAATCATAATCAAGATCATCGAGACCCCCGGTGATTCTTATAGATTCTTATAGATCCTCAGGTGATGGGCCGCCCACAGAGAGGTAGAATTTGGGGTGGGCGAATGCGTGCCCAGAGGACAATTTAGCTTACCCAGGCCCCTAACAGATCTGTGAACTCCGGGTGCCACCACCAAGTCTCGGGGTCCCTCCCGCCCTGAATGAAACTGAAATTCTACTGTTCATCAGTAGGCTCTATTCCTGCGCAGAGGGAGCCCAAGAAGGTGGGAATGTAAAGAAAGAGACGGTGGAGAAGGGTGGCTCTCGCCTTCCCTCCCCTCCCCCCAGAAGCAATGAAAAACGACGTTTCTCTCATAATTCCTTTTCTAGCCTCTCACCAAGAGGAAGAAGTTACTTTAGTTGGAAGGGGACGGGGCTGAACAAGAGACACTTAAACTTTCCCTCTCTTTTGTTTCCATCTCATGCATCCAGCATCTCAGGTGTGGCACTTCTAATCTTGCAGGGGCTGGGAGGGACAGTCCTTGAAGGCTTCCTGGAGGAAATTGCACTTGAGGGAAGAAAAGCTGTTGCAGCTCAGGAGAACTTCTGGGGAAGGTGAAGAGTTGTGGTGGTCCTGGAACTTTGTGGGTTTAAAGGAAAGTGGCTCCGACTGATTGTCTATAACGGCGGCAGGCTGGGTCTAGAGCGAGGCCCCAGTAGCTCATTAAAGGATGCAGTTTTTATTGCTAGAGCACTGAAGAGCCATGGAAGGTGTCTGATCACTGGTGTGCTTAGTGCCGGGAGCTCTAGTGATGCAGTGATTACTCAGCTGCTCACCAAAAGTTGGTGGTTCAAACCCACCCATGAGAAAGATTGGCAGTCTGCTTCTATAAAGATTTACAGCCTTGGGCACCCCTCTGTCCTGTCGGATTACTCTGAACTGGAATGACTGATAGGTTTGGTTTCTTTTGGTGCTTAGAGCCAGTTTTAAGAGGTTTGTGATTTGGGATGAAGTGAGGTGTCTGAGAGGCTACGCTGAGGGTAGCTTGTTCTGCTACTGAGGGAAATGTGGACCTAAGGACTGTGTCCTATTTTCTTTTTCCCTTGAGACAATTTGCTGAGTATATACTGTGTACTGGAGTCCTGATGTGGCCCTATTAGATAAGTGCTGGACTGCTAATCGCAAGGTCAGCAATTCAAACCAACCAGTTGCTCCTCTGAAACCCTATGCAGGGTTTCTAAGACTTAGAACCAACTTGATACCACTTAACAACGAAACAATATACAATATATTTTGGTGCAGCACAATAGGATAAAGTGCTGGACTGCTAACTTAAAGTTAGTGGTTCATACCCACCAGCTGCTCCTTCGAAAATGATTCCACGGCACTTAACAACAGACAATAAATCATTTGAGTCTTACCTCCCCTATGAGGTCTTTTCCTGAGGAGGAAGCTGGCTCAGATGAGCTACGGAGACTGCCTAGGACAAGTCTCACCTCAGACTGTGCTACAGCACTTGCCCTGTGGCCTTCTGTCTCTTCCAAGGAGGCCCCAGCCTACTTGCCAACTCTTTTCTAACAGGGAGCCTCTGATGAAGCGACTTGTCTGCTCTGCATCCTCATCAAGTTGGGAGTCTGCCCTGAACTGTGGCACCCTGATTAGAACAGGCTGTGGTGATCAGATATGGTCACCACTTTGTCTCATGCACATGGGGCTTCCTTGTTCTTCATCTTCCTCAGTCTTCACAGCCCCCCCCCTCCCCCCCCCAGTGAGCTGCCAGGTAATACTTCCACTGTCCAGATGAGGGAACAGAGGCCCACAAACATTCTGATGTGCTAGCAAGATACACTCCGGGGTTCTGACATCTGGTGTCTGTTCTTGTTACTCCATCTTGGCTGCCAGCAAATGATGTCCCTCTTTGCTTTTTCATGAGCTCCCCACCAGCCAGTGTGTCTTCCAGGAAGGGGAAATGGTGTGAGGGGCTATCTCCCAGGATGTTTCTGCTCCTCCCCCAGTGGGTGTTTCTGGGCCCATCCCCCGTATCATTGCTGCTCAACATTGGGGCGAATCATCTTGCTTGTATTTCCTCACTACATCTGTGCTTTGTGTACATTCCCTTAATGACAGGGCACTCGAGACCTCGCGAGCTTCCAGATGCTCTGTCAGACAGTTTCTCATACTATAATTAATGTTGTTAAGTGCTGTCAGGTCCGTTCTGGCTTATAGTGACCCTCTGCCATCCTCACAAGTGTTAATCTGTGAGCCCATTGCTGCTGTCCATGTGTCAGTCCATCTTGTTTGGGGGGTTTTCCTCCTTTTCGCTGACCCTCCCCTTTTCCATGCATGATGTCCTTGCCTGGAAACATCCCTTGTGATAATACGGTCACAGTATACAAGAGAGAAAGTCTCCGCAGCCTCACTTCTGAGGAACATTTTGGCGATATTTCTAAGATTTGTTGCTTTTTCAATATTCTTCTCCAGCACCACAATTCAAATGCATCAGTTCTTTTCTGGTCTTCCTTATTCATCATCCAGCTTTCACATGAGATGAGGAAGTTGAAAATACCATGGCTTGGGTCAGACGCATCTTCATCCTCAAAATGGTATCTTTATTCTTGAGCACTTTAAAGAGGTTTTTGCAGCAGATATGCCTAATGTCATATGTTTTTTGGTTTCTTGACTGGCTGCTTCAGTGAGCATTGATAGTGCATACAAGTAAATGGAAGTCTCTGACAACTTCAGTCTTTTCTCCATTGATCATGATGTTATTTATTGGGCCAATTATGAGGCCTTCTGTTTTCTTTACATGGAGGTGGAATTCATACTGCAGGCTGTAGTCTTTGATCTTCATCAGTAAGTATTTTAATTCCTCTTCACTTTCAGTAAGTAAAGCTGTGTCACCTGCTTCGCGCAGGTTGTTAATGACTGTTCCTTCAATCCAGCCACCATGCTCTTCTGCATAGAATCCAGTTTCTTGGATTATTTGCTCAGCATATAGATTGAATGAGTCTGATGAAAGGGATACAACCTTGACCCACTTTTTTGCTGATCTTAAACCATTCAGTATCCCCTTGTTCTATTCAAATGATTGCCCCTTGGTCTGTTTACAGGTTCCTCATGAGCACAATTAAGTGGTCTGGACTACCCCTTCTTCACAATGTTATTCATAGTTTGTTATGATCTACACAGCTGAATGCCTTTGCATAGTCAGTAAAACACAAGTAAACATCCTTGTCGTATAAGTTCTATCTGACATCAAACACGATGTTCCTCGGTGCGCATCCTCTTCAGAATTCGGCTTGAATTTCTGGCAGCTCCCTGTTGGTATACTACTGCAATCCTTTTTTACGTATCTTCAGTGAAATTTTACTACATGTGATATTAAAGGTACTGATCAATGATTTCCACATCCATTGGGTTACCTTTCTTTGGAATGGACACAAATAGCGATCTTTTCTAATTGGTTGGCTGGGTAAGCTGCCTTCCAAATTTCGTGACATAGACATGTGTGTGCCTCCAGTGCTGTATCAGTTGGTTAAAACATTTCAGTTTGTATTTAGACAAAGCCTGAAGGCTGGTTTTTCACCAGTGCCTTCAGTGCATTGTAATACATTGTAAGTAATACCTGCTCATGGTTCACTCAAATCACACAGAAGCCATAGAGTAAAAAGCAACCGCCCTCTGCCCTCATTGTTGTTGGTAAGTGCCATCAAATCCGTTCTGATTCATAACAATCCTATACAGAGTTTCCAAGGAGTAACTGGTGCATTTGAACCACCAGCCTTGTGGTTCACTGTCCAGTTTTGATCCTACAGTGCGGCACCAGCTGTTCATATGTTGAAATAATAGGCTTATAATAATGGAGCTCTGGTAGCGTAGTGGTAATGAGTCGGGCTGCTAACCTCAAGGTCAGCAGTTCGAAACTACCAGCCGTTCCGTGGGAGAAAGATGAGGCTTTCTGCTGCAGTAAAGATTTACAGCCTCGGAAACCTTCTACAGGGTCGCCATGCGTTGGAACTGACACCATGGTACATAACCACCACCCTATAGAGTCCTGGTGCGGCACTATGTTATAAGCACTGGACCACAAGATTGGGTTGCTATGAATTAGAACTGAGTTGATGGCATTTAACAACAACAGTGTGTAGTGGAGTTCTGTTGAGCTACTAACTCAAGGTCAGTAGTTAGAATCTACTCAGTAGGAAAAAGATGAGGCTTTCTGTTCCCATAAAGATTTACAGTCTCGGAAACCCTACACAGGGCCTCTGTGAGTTGGAACTGACTCAATGGCACACAACCACCACCAGGCTTAGAATAATAACCAACACCATATAGTGCTTTTGATCTCTTTATTTATATTAACTCATCTCAACCCTCGAGGCAAGATCCATAGTCCCCATTCTACAGATGAAGACACTGAGACCCAAGAAGATTAAATAGTTGCTCGAGCTCTGATTAGCAACAGAGGTGCGACATAAACCCAGGCAGTCTAGAGAGTCCATGGTCCTGAATGCTACACTCAGCTACTATTTCAGAGTTTATGTGACCTACTGACTTCCTGCTGTAATTTGCCTCATTTATGCCTCCCCCAGGAGCCCTGCCTGGGTTTAAGCACTCACTGCTAACTGAAGGGGTCAGCTTGAAGCCATCAGCCACTCCTCAGGAGAAAGATGTGGCACTTTGCTTCTGTAACGGTGCACAGCCTTGGCAACCTGTGGGCGGTTCTGCTCCGCTCTGTGAGCTGAAATTCATTTAACAATAGCAGGCTTGGTTTTGGATATCTCCTCCACCTTGCCAAGACGGGTGTGTTTTTTTAACACCATTTTTAGTTTATTTGTTGATTATTAGTGTCCTAAACTGCTATAACAAACAGCGTGGCTTAAAAGAACAGAAATTTCTTGTCTTAAAGTTCTAGAAGCTAGGAGTTGGAATTCAGGATGTGAGCAGGGCCATGCTATCTCTGTCTGCTATAGGAGAATACCCTTCCGTGTCCTTTCTGGTCACCCAGGCATTCCCTGACTTGTAGATCTACCCTCACATGGCTAACGTCCCCGTTTCTCTCTCTGTATCTTTATAGGACACCTCTCCAATTGGACTAGGACTCACTCTGTTCCCTATAATCTCATGTTAACTGATAACATCTTCAGATACCCTATTTCCAGAAACTGCCATCTTCACATACCAGGAATTAAAACTTCAACGTAAATTTTTCAGGTGTACAATTCAATCCGTAACAATGAACTTTTTTAACTTTAGAGGATGTACGTAAACCATTTTTTGGTCAGCTGCTATAGGCAGTATCTTTTGATTGCCTACTTTTGTTATTGTTGTTTAGTGCCGTTGAGTCGGTTCTGACCCATAGCGAACCTGTATAGGGTATCCAAAGAGCAGCTGGTAAACTTGAACTGCCAACCTTGCAGTTCAAACTGATTTTGCAGTCCAGCACATTTATCCACAGTGCCACACCAGGACTTCATACATTATTTGTTGTTGTTAAGTGCCATCGAGTTGGTTCTGACCCATAGCAACCATGTATATGGTTTCCAAGGAGCAGTTGGTGAGCTTGAATCGCTGACCTTGCAGTTCGAAGCAACTTTGCAGCCCAGTGCATTAAACCACAGCGCCACGCCAGGACTCTTCCCGTACCTTTAGACAGGTGGTATTAAAGCTCTACTCTTAACCTTTAGCTTTCTTCACCTTTTCCTCAGCTCCTGTTATCAGTATTTTTACTTTCAGGTTGTCAATGTTGATAATATTTTTCTGCTGTTCCATAACTATAATTGTCTTACATATTTTGTCTGTGGGTTGGTTCTAAGCATGGAAAACCATTGTACAATATTTACATTATTTGAAGGAGCCTTGGAGGCAGTGTGGTAAAACTATCAGCTGCTAACTGTGAAAGGTCAGCTGTTGCACTCTACCCGCTGTTCCATGGGCAAAAGATTAGGTAGTCTGAAGACTTAAACCTTGGAGGCCCTCTGAGCAGTTCTGTCTGTCCTGTATGGTCACTATGAGTCAGAATCAACTCGACAACTATTATTTTAGCCCTGCAAATCGAGTTCCTTAGAGAGCCAAGCTGTTTAATGATTACACTTGCTTTTGTTTTTCCTGGAGTTTCTCATTGCTTTTATTTTCTCTCTCTCTTTCATGATTTGTCTCCATTTCCTCATTTTTTAAATTCAAACTTTCCATCAAGTCAGTAGTTTATAGATGTTCTTTAAAAGGAATCAAAATCAGTCCTTCTGGTGTTCAGATATGGTGCTGTGGGTTAATGCGCTGGACAGCAAAGTTGGTTTGAACTGTAAGGTCAACGGTCAAGCTCACCAGTTGCTCCTCCTCAGAAACCCTCTACAGGGTTGCTATGGGTCTGAACCGACTCAGCACTTAACAACAACAGTATTCCCGTCCAGATTCTTGATGTGGCACTGTAGAATAAGCACTGGACTGGTAACCTCAAGGTTGGCGGTTCAAACCCACCAGCCTTCGGAACCCTAAACAGGGTCGCTATGAGTCAGAATGGACTCCACAGCACTTAACAACAGTGTTCCCATCAGTGGGTGGTTCCACTCCCCTAGGATAAGACCCCTTCCTTTTCTGCCAGGCAAGCCTGCAGATGCCGCTCACTGCCTCAAATGCCTGAGTGCCATCAGCTCCCCCATGTGGTAGGCTTGTAGAGCTGTGAGGAGAGAAAAGCAACCTGTCTCAGCTTTCACTGTTGTTCTCAGCGGTGTGTGGAGTCAGAAATGTGGGACAGGCTGGAGGTTGCTCATCCCCAGGTCAGGACAGGGCTGGAGAAGAAAATGCCTTTCCCCTCCCTGACTTGTCTCCCAGAGTCAGGGTCTTAGTAGAAGAAAACCAGTCAGATGCTGATAAATCTTGATTCCCAAGCTAAATATCTGCCCTTTGCTTGCCTTTTTCCCTGCCTTGCCCACCTAGACTGGACTAATGACAGAGACCCCTCCTAAGGTAAAGGAGGAAATCGTTACTGAGCATCTAACAGGTGGGCCTAGATCCTGCAGCTTCCAGGGACCCACTTCCAAGTGCCTCTCTAGGTCTTCAAAAGCCCTTGAATGAATTTAATTCCAAACATCCCACAGTGTGCCCATTTTGGGAGTTTCTAGACCGAAGGGGAGGGTTCTCCCCTTCTCCATCTAGGTCCTATGAGCCTGGACGTTATCATTGTCTGTTTTTTTGAGGACTTGCCCTAAAAATGGTCACTGTCTTAGTTCTCTATTGCTGCTGTAACAGAAATGCCACAGTGGGTGGCTTTAACAAACAGAAATGTTCAGGAGGCTGATGTCCAAGTTCATGGCACGAGCTTGGAGCAAGGTCCTCGTGTCCTTCCAGCATCTGCAGGCCCAGCATTCCGTGGAAATGCCCATATGACGTGGTATCATTCTGTCCCTGGATCTAGGTGCTTCCTTGTGCAGGGGCACCAGTGCCGCAGGACATATGCCTCTCCCTTCTTGACGGTAGTTGTTGTTAAGTGTCATCTAGTCATCTGTGACTCATAGTAGCCCTGTATAGAGTGTACAAGGAGCAGCTGCTGAGTTAGAACTACCAACCTTGTGGTTAGTAGTCCAGTGCTTATTGTAAAGCATCACACCAGGATCCCTCTTTCTCTTATTACTTCTCTTGCCTAAGATACAAGGTGTTGCAGACGGGCCCTGGGAAACTCCCTTACATTGGATCAGGTATTGCCACCCACCCTTCATCCTTTTTTATCACACCAGATCACATCCTGGGAATCATCCTATAAAGGCCACAGCACAGAATCATGGGTCAGACAAGCTGACAGATATTGTGTTGTTGTTCTTGTTGTTAAGTGCCATCAAGTTGGTTCCGACCCATAGCGACCCTATATAGGGTTTCCGAGGAGCAACTGGTGAGTTTGAACCTTGCAGTTCAAACAGCTTTGCAGTCTGGCACATTAACCCACAGCACCACACCAGGGCTCAATTCAACCCATGGCAGTCATTCATGGGAAGGGTCATGGTGGCCGCTCATCTCAGGCCCTGGAGAAGTCCTCATGGTTCTGACCATCCTGCCAGGTCCCTCTTTCTTCTCCCTCCAGTTAAGCCAGGCATGTCAACTCCATGCAGTGCCTTTCTGCACTTTGACCTCCACCCCTTGCTCCTGCTTTCTTGCTGCTTCTGCGTAGGTAAATGCACCCTGCCATACTTCAGGATTGCCTTCCTTCAGGCAGCCTTTGTGTACTGTTCTGGGCTACACTGACGTCTTTCTAACACAGGCCACTTGGTTTACGGTAACAACTGAAGCAGAATAGTGAGCTGTTACCAGCACAGGCTTTGAATGCAGGTAGACCTGGGCTTCAATTCTGTGTTGTCAGAACTCTTCAGTTGCAAGCGACAGAAATCCAGTATGAACTGCAACATCCTTAGCAACAGGAAGTGTATTGGCTCATGTGAGCAGCCACTGCCCTTGGAGAGGCTGGGAACTTGAACCCTGTCAGGGCCACTTCCATCCTGATTCTTTCCTCAAAGATGCTTGATTGTCCCCTGACTATTCCTTGAGATGGGATCCTTGGCCACAGGCTGCTCTGGGCTTACATCCCTAAAGCCAGCTCCAGTTAGAAGGGTCCCACTGGGCCAGCCTGCATCACAGACCCTCCCTGTGACCCAGATAGACAGAAGGAGTGGTCACTGCTAAATCACTTACCCATCTAAGCCTCCTCATCTTCAACTGTCAAATTAGCTGTTCCCAGATGGCAGACTGCTTTGTAGGAGGGACAGGCACCCAAATGTGTTGTCGGGGGCGTTCCATTTTTTGCCATATCTCTCATCAGCTTGTCCCTGCTGGCTTCTTTCTCTGTGGACAAGTTTTCTTCTTTTGATAACCAAGTCTCTATATGGAAGATCTCACTGGAGGGCTCTGATTGGTGTATCTGAGGTCACATGCCCATCCCATAAACACTGGGCACCATGGTATGATAGAACTTCACAGTACAAGCTCAGGGAACCTAAACCTTTAGGTCCAAATCCTCCTCCATGAGACCCTGGGCAAGTTACTCTTGGGCCTCAGTTTTTCTCACTTGTAAAATCAGTCATATTCTAACCTCATAGGGTTCTGTAAGGATTAAAAGTGGTAGCTGAGATTTTATATGGAGGGGACTAAAAACAGTGCCTGGACATAGTTAAGTGTCCAGCACAGTTAGCTGCTGTCATCTTCATCATGTTTTTACAGTTTTCAGCTGCATTGGTAGCCTTTGCTGCTTTTTTATTTTTCCCATCATCCCGTGGAGGAGAGTCCGACAATTCTTACATCCCTATTGGGCTATTTCTTCATGAAGCCCAAAGGGTCAGACCGTAGTATCTCCCGCAAGAATCCTTTTCCCCAGCCCTCTCTAGCTCATCCCTCGGGAAGGATTCCCATGGGAAGAAGAGAACTGACCTTCTGGTGTGCTTCCTTTCCAGACATGGCTCTGTCAAGGCTGATGAGGCTGCCCGCACGGCTCCCTTCCACCTTGACCTCTGGTTCTACTTCACTCTGCAGAACTGGCTTCTGGACTTTGGCCGCCCCATTGCCATGGTGAGTGTGAAGCTGTGGATGGAGACCCAAGCAGGAGTGAGGAGACTTCCAAATGAACAAAAAATAAAGCAGACCCACTGCTGTGGAGTCCGTCCCAACCCATAGCAACCCAGTAGGAAACTGTGGAACTGTTGCAGTGTTCCGAGACTGTCAGTCTTTGTGGGAACAGCCAGCTTATTTTCCTTCCATGGAGTGACTGGTGGGTTTGAACCACAGACCTTGTGGTCATCAGCCCAATACTTAACCATCTGCACCATCAGGGCGTCTCTGAGACTTCCTGTGACTTAAATTAGCTAAGTGACCTTAGGCAAGTCACTTCCCTTACCAACATGCAGATAAAATCTTTTTATCTAGGCAGGCCTAGATACTTTTGGGTATGCTAGCTCAATGACTTTGTGTTGGAGAGCTGGGGTATCGGGACAGTCCTATCACGTCCCGACCCTCATGGGAGACCCGAATAGCCCTATATGTCCAGATTATACTAAGGCCCCATGGTAAGCTGGTGAACCAGGTTTACCCAAACTGCTAAGACGGAATGTAGGCAAGGAAACAGAGTGTCCCCACTGGCCTTCCTCGTGGCCTTGGGATACTGTTTTTCTAAAGATGAAGGGTAGAGGCCACTGTGCATATTATAAATGATAATGAGACTCAGGTAATTTTTAGTGCCATCTCCTTCCTTTCAAGGCTACTTCTCATGCACAGTGATGACCTCCACCCAGACCCAAACCAAACCCACTGCCACCAAATCGATTCCAAGCTGTAGCAACCCGAGAGGATAGAGCAGAACGGCCCCATAGGGTTTCCCAGGCTGTCAGTCTTTACAGGAGCAGATATCTTGCCGTAGTTCTCTCCCACAGAGCAGCTGGTGGTTCGAACTGCTGACTTTTCAGTTAACTGCTGAGCACTGTTATCCACTGCACTCCCAACACTCCACAGAGACCCTCACAGAGGAGGTTAATACTGGAAGAATACCACTGTGCCTCACGTGATATCAGAATGAAAAAAGTTCATGCACAACCTTGCTAATTTTCGTGTGTGTGTGACAAAACTAACATTATCCAATGCTGAAATTGATACCTTGTACATACTAGTGATAATGCCAGTTAGCAAGCCCCTTTTGGAAACTGTTGTGCATGATAATAATTAGTGCCTAGCTTGGTAAGCACGCATACATTTTTACTGAATGAATGTTGTTGTTGTTGTTAAGTGCCATCGAATTGATTCCAACCCATAGTGACCCTGTGTAGGGTTTCCAAGGAGCGAATGGTGAGCTTGAACCACCGACCTGTGGTTCAAACCACTTTGCAGTCCGGCGCATTAGCCTGCAATGCCTGAGTGAAGAGCAGGTGGTAAAAATGGCAGCTAACATATTTTGACTAACTGTACTCTGAACTCTATGTATTCCAACTGGTTTAATTCTCACATCAGCCCTATAAAAGTCCCCATTGTAGCAATGGGGAAACCTGAGGATGAACTGGATAGATAGCTGTCTCAAGATCACATGATTAGCAAGCAGACGAGCCAGGATCTGAACCCAGGTGCTCTGGGTCCAGAATTCACCCACTTCCTGACAAGATTCAGGAGTCCTGGTGTGGCATAGTGGCTTAATGCTCCAGACTGCAAAGTCGTTTGAACCAGAAGGTCAGGGGTTCAAGCTCACCAGTCACTCCTCGGAAACCCTATACAGGGTCGCTATGGGTCGAAACCAACTTGACGGCACTTAACAACAACAGCTACAATATGTTCACCATCTTCCCTGAACCAGTGAGACTGTTGCAGATTCTGCCCAGAGGAAATAATTGGTTCGACAAGAATGTTCTGATATGCAAAGATGCCTATTGCTGTATTGATTATACTAGCCAACATTTGGAAGAGACGACAGTGTCCAGCAGTAGGGACTAGGGAAAGCAGTACTGCTGTGTCCACTACAGGGAATGGTACTTGGTTGTTAGGGATTGCAGAGAAACAGAGCAGCCTGGAAACATCTACAACTTTATGTTTGAGGAGGAAAAATGGTTTCTAAATGGCACAGTGTCGAGTAGGAGAAGAAGGCAGTATGGTAGATGCTGGTTTTCCTTGCTGCAGACTCTGTGTAATGTGGGCATGTTGTTTTTTACATGTAGGAAAAAGAAAAGGTACTGAGCCAGGAGTTGGGCCCCCTGGTCAGGCGCGCAGGTGACCTTGGACAAATCATTTCCCTTGGACTTCTCTCATCTGAACAAAGATTGTTCTGAGCCCACTTCTAGCCTGAAGGCCTCACATATTTGCAGCTGCCCATTAAACTCTGGGGTCTTCTGCTGGATAGATCACTTCCCCCTCTGACCCAGAGTTGCTGTGACCATCATAACCCTCAGAGGGGCTCCTTGGGAGAGCTTCCCTGGCTTGCCCAGCCAGGAAAGGGTTCTAACAGCCAGAGCAAATCAGTGCCAGGCTCATGTGTACACTGAAGCATTTCAGATGTACACGTGATATCTCCCAATTTGCCATAACCAAAAAGCAAAACAAGCTTTTATAAGTTATAAAAGTAATATACAAATCAGTTTATGCCCAAGTATACAAAAACAGGTGTGTTAGACCATCCCTACTCCATTCCTAGTTCTACCCCTGACAGGGCACATCTGTCCAGTCCTATTTATGTTCATACATACAGAGGGTTTTTCCTCCCTGAATTTTTTTTTTTCCTAACCAAAATGAATTTTTTGGTTCATACATACAGAGGGTTTTTCTCCCTGAATTTTTTTTTTTTCCTAAACAAAAATCCTCACCACTGGACCAATAAACAACATTGTTATCAATGGAGAAAAGATTGAAGTTGTCAAGGACTTCATTCTTCTTGGATCAACTATCAACACTCGCGGAAGTAGCAGTCAAGAGATCAGACG